AGAATTGACTCGGGAGCTACCTCTTTCATTGGAGGGGATATCGTATGACTAGGCACAACATATACTGTTCGTGTAGATAAAAGATATAAAGCTGTATTGGTCTGAACTGACGACTTCGACTATAACCTATTAGGAAGAGCGCACAGAACAAACACAAATTTGGTAAATAAAAAGAGTGGACAACCACGTAAGTGTGGCCAAATCAGCGAAAGATTCCCCGAACAAAACAGATATTACACGACCGATAGTGGCATAATATGCCACTGATATCCTCTGTAAACGAGCTAAAAGCAGCACAAAGTGGAACAATTCAAGCTCTTCTGCAGCCCTAGAAGAGGAGAGAGGATGGGTCATGGATGGACATGGGCAGTGCACCCTAGGTAGAGTCAGAGCTAGCGGTTGGGGCACCCGAGATAGCATTGCACTAGTTGCGTGAGTTCTGTCAGTATGTAATAAGGTCCCTAGGAATATGCAATTGCTTACTTCTCCACCTTTTCCGGGGCAGCATGCATAGGTGGCGCCAGTACAAAAGTTCTGAGGCGTGGTAGCTGTTCACTCAAAATGTAAGTAAATGACATAGGTTGTTCTGGGCACATTGTACACATACGCTGGCCAGTAAGAGCATCTGTGATGATCACAATAAGACCATCCGCCGCCGAACTTGCTGGGGCACAGGCAGAGTTTGCATAGCCTGGGAGAACGCCGGCAAGTGCATCAAGGACTTCGGTGGTTAGGCCACTTGTCACTCCCTTGTTTCCATTGTTCTGAATATTGACCTGGTTGCAGCAAGAAACAGTCAGATTGCCGCACTTTTGCTGCAACTGGTTGAAATCAACACCTTTCTCAGGAGTGGCATGCCACAACTGTTTGCTCGGAACAGATGCGGAGCGGCGGTTATTCGAGACTTGAACCGCTGCTGGCGTAGCAGCCACCGCCATAGCAAGTGTAAGGAGTCCAGCGACAGTGAAATACATCTTGTTGAAGATTGTACTTGTTTGGGTGTGAAATTCAGGAAGAAAGAGTATTTAGGGCTGGTTGCTGCGTTTTATCAAAGACAATGACAGTTGATAGACAGATGGTTGCGATGAGAACGAAGATGTCAAAACTGGACACTAGCGTAGGTTTTTATACCTCAGCTTAGGCAGGCTGAGTATTCTCCTATTTATACAGAACCGAAAGATCTTCAGGACAAAGCCTTGGTCAGACAATCTTTAGGATGGCCCTAGCGCATCTACATAGCCCTTCTAAATACTTTCTAGGTTGAAGTATCCTACAGGGTGACCCTTCGATCTTTAACATTGTCTGGTATTTTGCCCTAGAGTGATAGATGTTACCCTGATAGATGTTACCCTGCTAGGAGTCAGATGTCTAGAGTCTTAGCGTACACGTAGTCCTCTCGAAATTGTCAACGCCCCTAATCTATTCTATTTGCAAAGAACAGTATCATCTAATATTATTCTTGCCGAGCGATGGGAGTCATGTTCCCAGGATCCTCCTCTCCCTTCTAATTCAGGGTTCCCTTAGATAAGACCAGTCTACCGTATATATGATCATTTTTACTTTATAGATAAAGGAGCCGTGACTACTTTTCTAATTAAGGGGAGGTGTGACTATAGCATAGGGGGAACTCCCTCCCCAATTGCAAAGAATGCTAAGACGAGTTCCACATAGTATAAGCTAAGGACCATGTAGCCTTCGGGATTACACTTTCCTCTGAGGTCAGTATAGGCATTGAATATATGGTGTGCTTAGTAAGCTCTTAGGTGCCTCTTTAGCGAGACGCATAATGCTCATCCAAGGGGGTGATCATCGTACGTAGTGCCAAAGAATTATAGTCGGCATATATCGTATATGATTGTCATAAGTCGGCTATTATATCCGTCTTATCTTCTAGCTCGGCAGAGATCCTGCATAGACCCACTAACCGTTCTTTGGGGAATTCCTTGCTTGTCAACCATACAATCAAGCTTTTTTTTTCCCAGGGCCAAGAGCGTGGCCTCACATTTTAGGGCCCTGGCAGGGGCCCTGCTTAGGGACCTTACATGGCGGCTGAATTTCCCGGCCAATGAAAGCATTTCTGGGACGAAGGGATGGACTTTGTTTGATGTCGTGGAGAGAATGACTGCACGTTCAGTGTCGGTAACCGCTGAGTATGGAACATACTGTTGGGAGGGAAATGTGTCCGCCTTTTGCGCATCGACAATGGCGGCCCACTCCGCTATTGTTGGATGCCGGAGGACATCGTGCGAACTGATCTCCATTTCCTATGGACGGGTGTTAG